AGTTTCAAATGGAAAGAATTTCTTCTTTCTTATAGCAGCATGAGTGGGGGGAAGGAGGACAATGGGGGAAATAAGGACACATATGTAATACCTTAATCAATAAAGAAAAAAATAGGTTATTGATTTTTAGAGAGAGGAAGGAAGAAGAAAGAAACATTGATATGAGATTATAACATCGAGTGGCTGCAACCCAGGCATGTGCCCCAACCAGGAATCAAATCAACCAACTTCTTGGTACACAGGTTGATACCTAACCAAGCCACACTGCTAGGGCCCAAATTGCTTTTAATAATGTTGTTCATAGAAGAGGTGTAGTATTAAAGATAATTTATGGCTAAGAATGTAACCTTTTGCCTTGGGCAGGTGGTTCATTTGATTGGAGTCATTCTGCATACCAAAAAGTTGCAGGTTCAATCCCCAAATGAACATGTGGGAAACAACCGATTGATGTTTCTCTCTACTCCCTTCTCTTTCTCTAAAAATTAATAACCATAGCCTCAAGTGAGGATAAAATAATAAAATAATAATAATAATAATAATAATAATAATAATAATAATGCATTCTTTCTAGAGAAGTGTTTGGTGAGAGCCTACAAACCCAGTAAAGCCTCAGCATCTAGTAAGAGTATTCCTACCCTGGTCAGTGTGGCTCAGTTGGGTGGGTGTTGTCCCATGCACCAAAAGGTTGCCAGTTCGATTTCTGGTCAGGGCACATGCCTGAGCTACAGGCACAATTGCCCCCTCACTTTCATCCTTGTGGGAATGGCAAGCAGGAGGCAGCCAATCAATGATACACTCTCAAATCAATATTTCTCTCTCTTCCCTTCTCCCTTCCTCTCTCTCTAAAAATCAATTTTAAAAAAATCTTAAAAAGAAATAGTATTCCTTTTTGTGTTTTGGTGGGGAGGATTTATATGTACATTTTTACAAGAACCTAAAGTGCTAAATATTAATGCTAACAGAAAGAAGCAGTGTCAGAGATAAACGGAAGAAATTATTTTTACTTGACTTTGGTATAAACTCTTCCTGTGATGTTACAGACCAAACAGGAGACAGTCAGAAACGGGGTTTTCATTGGGCCAGAATTTAATGAGACTAATACACTTAGTGGCAAAAACCTTAGGAGATTTGGGGCCCAAAGTGAAAGAGGCTGTGCCTGAAATGTTCTGGCATTTTAGATCCTGAGCTGCTTATGACATGCAAATGAGAAAGAGGTGCTTATATTTAAACACAGACCATTGAACTACACAACTAACCTTCCTTGGGGAGGGAGTTTTTGTTTTGTTTTGTTTTTGACTGGAAAGAATAATGTAGTGGAAGAAAAACATGAGGATTCAGAAACCCTGGTCTCATTCACTCTCTGCTACCCTGTGACTATGAGAATATCACCTCAGACTCCTGAATACACAGAGAGATAAGATGAAGTAATCTTTAATACCCTCTTCCTTATTTTTCACCTAGAGAACAAAGGGAAAAATCACAGGAAAAAGATGGGGTCCCTTAGGGGTGGATCCACATCCCATTCTCTCAACAGAGAAGCTGGTTTTCCATTCTCTGACACTCCCAAGTATGCAGCACATGTTACTACGCAGCAAAAAGATGCCTCCTGGATATGGGTCCTTAGTGCAACCCAAGGAGAAATGCCTGATGCTAAAATCTAACAGACGAAAGGAACATATAAACACATTATATGTGTTAGCGAAGAATCAGAATAAGTGAAGCATTTTCAAACAGAACATGTGAAAAATCTTAATTATTCTGGGCTTCAGAGGTGACTAAAAAGCCTCAAGGTTACCTTAATCTGCTACAGAAGAAAAATGAAAAAAAAAAAACAAAAAACTATTTGAAAGATTGTGGTATACAGGATTTTAATGGACTATAACAAAGACAAATTCCTTTGTTGCAAGGGGTAGTGTGTCAGTAGAGGTCAAACAGAAAGTATTTAAAAGTCTGCTTACAACATATCATCCACTTAAACTGTCTTACGAGTTATTCACATGTGAATTAGAGATCCAGGCTAGATTTAGTCATGTAGTCATGGATAAACAGAAACTCAGGCCAGGTTTTCCAATGTCTCTTGGCAAACAGGCTATTATTTTCTTAAGCATTTTGAGTAGACATGAAGAAAATATTTAAAGACATAAAACTGCACAGGACAAATTCCTGAATGTGCTTATACTATAATCTTGGAAAGTATGCTATGGTGGATGTACAAAATACATCGCACGTTTGTAGAGCAGTTACCAGTTAAAGTGCTTTTATGCTTATTGACTGATTCCCTCTGAAGCATGTAATATGAGGAAACTGAGGAAGGTGAGAGAATGCGGAGTTAAGAAAGGCTATTTCACCTAGCCAACATCACATGAGACAAAAGCAGGTGGACAAGACAAGATAGAGGTAACTAAGCTACTGTGGATTTTTCAAGAAAAATAACACCAAAATCACATCCTTTATTTTTAAAAAGGAAATTCTGACAAGTCAGGGCAGGACCAAAATTATGTCTTAAAGCCTTTTATGCTACTTCTACCCAATCTTTTCTCCCACCACAACTACAAATCATGGTTGGTGAAGTATGTACCAGAGGATAAGGGATCATTTTTTTAAAGTTTTCAATATTAACCTCTATCTTTTAAAAAATCTTTATGGACAAATTTCTGATAACATGAAAATTAGCATTTCTTCATCTAATCTATAAGCATTTTCCACAGATGATCAAGGTCTTCATGGTCAAAGATTATCTCATTTCCTTGGCACTTCAGTGAAGCTTACACATGGCAGGAAGAATAATAATACTTGTTTGGCATGACCCAGCAATTCTTCTCCTATGTACACACTCAAAGAATTGAAAGTAGGGACTCACAAGATACTTGTATGCTCACGTTCATAGCACCGTGATTCACAATCATCAAAAGGTAAAAATAGCCCAAGTGTACATTAATAGATAAATGGATTCTTTTAAATTTTCATAATTTATTTGAGTTTATTTGAGCCAAACTGAACCCAGTTTTGGGAAAGGAAGATCTCAAATGCTGCTAATGAATATATTTTTTTAAATGTGGTATAGACATACCATGGAATATTATTCAGCCATAAAAAGGGAAATATGCTAAGGGAAATAAACCAGACACAAAAAAGATAAATATTTTATGATTCCACTTAAATGAAGTACCTAGAATAGGGAATTTCATAGAGTAGAATATAAGTTGCCAAGGATGGGGGTAAGAAAGAATGGGGAGATACTGTTTAATGAAGTCAGAGATGATTTGAGATGATGAAAAAGTTCTGGAAATGGATACTGGCGATAGTTATGTAATATTGTGAATGGACTTAATGCCACTTCAAATAGCAAACTTTATGTTATGTATATTTCACCACAAACACATTGATAGGTCATCCACTCACTGATTCAATAAATACATACTAAATGTCACCTATCTGCCAGGAACTATGCTAAGCCTTGAAGATGTAAAATGAATACAACAGAGCCCAACTCTGTTCCAAGGGACCATAAGACTCTAGTAGGTGCATGTGAACTGAGTTTAGATTCAACTACTAAGATTAAATTCACTAGATTAATTCACTAGATAAATTCACTATTATTTTCTTAAGCATTAAGGATGATCAGGTGGCAAGAAATGAGTTAGCAATGAAGAAAAAAAGACTGCAGAAGTGGTAGATGATTCATGAAGAATATTCCCATTAGAAAACTTTAACCTATTTATTTTAATGGTTCAAAAACGTATTCATAAAAAGAATTAAAAGTATTTTTAAATTTTAACAATTCATAAAAAGAACAGACTTTAAAAGCAATTCTCCTTTTAACTTGTCTAGAGCCAATAAACCAAGTTAATTACGTATAATTGACTCTTGAACAATGAGGGAGTAGGGGTGCCAACCTTCTACCCCATGCATAGTCAAAAATCCACATGTAATATTTGATTCCATAAAAAACTGAACTACTAAATAGCCTCCTGTTATCAATAACATAAACAATTAGCACATATTTTGCATGTTATATGCATTATATACTGTATTCTTATAATAAAGTAATCCCCCAGAGGAATGAAAATGTTATAAAGAAAATACATTTACAGTATTTATTGGGGGGAAAAATGCATATAAGAGGACCAACAAGTTATTCAAGAACCAAGTGTAGGTCTGAGGTTCTATGCTGGAGGCACTAGTTCTAATAAATGTTTATAATCTTTATATTCCCTTCTAACAAAACTTAAGCTACCATGGGAATACCATATAACTTTCTTACCAACTGCCTTTAACTCAAAATAGAAGCGTTAAGTCCTCATATTCAACAAGTAGTATATATCCAAAGATACCCTACACATCTTTGAGCTTAACTACTTGCCTCCTACACCAAAAGAATGGTAGCAAAACAAACAAGAAAACATATTTCTGAGGCTTGGATCCGAGAGGACAGCACTACTGAGTTTCACTTATATTGGTGAGTCACTGGTTTTGGTGAGAGCTGAATTCCTCCGATAACCTGATGAAAGCTAGGAATGCCCTCCCAGGAGAATCTCATATATTCAATCTTTTGCATATGATTTCAGGAGCTCACAGACCATGGAAACACAAGTTAAGATTTTTAATTTATACCCTTTAAAAGTATAGGAAGAAGGAAAAAATAGATCATGTCTCCAATCTAGTCACCTTTAATCAAGGTAAGCTCTCTGCACACTTGATTAAATGCCTTCATACTACAATAAATCTATAGCTAACTTACTTAAAAATTATACTTTTAATGAAGTATATATTGAATGAAAATACACTATACTTGCCTACACTTCCTGATCTGAACAATGGCATCACCAGTAAAGCCTGAATTATCAAGGCTATCATCTTAAAAACTCGAACCAAATACAGTCTCTGCTTACTTTGCTATCCAGGATGTCTACCTGGAGCTCAAGTTAAGACCTATTCTAGGTGAGCCAAGCCACAGACAACTGGCTGAAGAATGAAGAATTTGCTGGTTCAACCCTTACCTGTTGCTATGCTTGGACTTTTCTCGGTCCTTCTCCTTGTCCTTCTTGTGCTCTTTGTGCCGGTGTTCCCGATCTTTGTGTTTATCTTTGTGTTTATGAGAATCTGAAAGCATAAGAGATGAGTCAGTTAAGAGGAGTCATAAGTTCTCTCCTGCCTGCCTACCTTAACAGGCTGGTCAAGAAGACACCCGGCTAGAGTGGCTTAAGCGTCATCCTGTGCACTGAAAGGTTCCATCCCTGTTCAGGGCACATATGGAAGGCAACTCATTATTGTTTTTCTCTCACACAGATGTTTCTTCCCCCGCCACTCTTCCTTTCTCTAAGCATGTCCTTGGGAGAGGAAAAAAAAAAGAAAAAGAAAAAAAAGCACAGCCCTAGCCAGTTTGGCTCAGTGGATAGTGTCGGACTGTAGAATGAAGGGTCCCAGGTTTGATTCCGGTTAAGAGCACATGCCCAGGTTGCAGGCTCTATCCCCAGTGGAGGGTGTGCAGGAGGCAGTCAGTCAATGATTCTTTCTCATTATTGATGTTTCTCTCTTTCTCTCTCCCTTCCTCTCTGAAATCAATAAATGTACACATACACACACACACACACACACACACACACACACACACACACACACACACACACACACACACGAGGCCTGGTGCATGAAAATTCATTCACTGGAGGGGGGAGGGGGAATCCCTCAGCCCAGCCTGCCCCCTCTCACAGTCTGGGATCTTTCAGGGGCAAAAGGTGACCCAGCAATCAGGGAAGGCGACATCCTCATCACACCTCTGCTGCAAGTCTCGACTGTCCCTGGTTACCTGCGTCTTGTGCCAGCCCTGGGCACTGCTATCTTGTGGCTGAGGGCATCACCATCTTTGAGGGTGTGACAGTCATTTAGCATATTCTCTCCTTATTGGCTGTGGGCGCTGCCATCTTTGTGAGGGTGTGATGGTCAATTAGCATATTCCCTCTTTATTAGATAGGATTTTTTTTTTTTTTTAAAGCACTATGACAGGAATCTAATGGCATTTGTAACATGACTTGGCTTTAGAGGCAGGGTAACGGGAGGCCTTGTCTGGGCTGCTCTGTGAAATTTTCTTGCAAGATTCCATTAAATGATGAGTATTTTCTCAAGTGTTTAATGGCCACTCATATGTCTTATTTAATGTAGTATATCTTCAAATCTCTCCCTCATTTTAAAAATATTTGTTTTCTTATTACTGAGTTGTAAGAGTTCTTTATAAATTCTGGATTATGACTTTTTTGGTTAGCTATATATATATATTGTAAATAGGTTTTTTTCTAAGAGTTTTACAGAGGTAAGGGACACACAGGGCACATTTTTAATCTTTAAAGATATCCAGTTGCTCTTTCACCATTTTTTGAAAAGATAGCCCTTTCCCCCACTGAATTGCCTTGACCTCTTTTTAAAAAAATATTGATTTTTTTACAGAGAGGAAGAGAGAGGGACAGAGAGTCAGAAACATGGATGAGAGCAACATCGATCAGCTGCCTCTGGCACACACATCCCCACCACTGGGGATGTGCCCACAATCAAGGCACATGCCCTTGACCAGAATCAAAACCGAGACCCTTTAGTCCGCAGGCCAATGCTCTGTCCACTTAGCCAAACTGGCTTTGGCTGCCTTGACCTCTTTACTAAAAATGAAGTGACTATATATAATCACAATAAATAGAGTCTATTTCTCAATTCTATCCTGACTTTACTCAGACACTATCTACTACTGTAGCTTCACAGTAAGGTTCTTTTTCATAGGAAGTTTTGAAATCAGATAATATTCAGTACTAAATTTAGCTTTAATCTTTTAAAAGTAGTTTCGGCTATTCTATGTCTTCTGCATTTCCATATAAGTTTTAGATTCATCAATTTCTTAAAAAAAAGAAAAAGAAAGAAAGAAAGAAAGAAAGAAAGAAAGAAAGAAAGAAAAGAAAAGAAAAGAAAAGAAAAGAAAAGAAAAGAAAAGAAAAGAAAAGAAAAGAAAAGAAAAGAAAAGAAAAGAAAAGAAAAGAAAAGAAAAGGTCAACTGGGAACTGTGTTCATAAGACAATTTGGAAATACACTCATGTCTTTTAATCCATGAACAGGGTTCTCTCTCTCCACTTATTTAAATAATTAAATTTCAAAATCATAGGGTGTATCAGAATTAATCCTACTAAAAATGAGGCTCCTAGGAGTCAGGTCACCCCAAAGCTAAGTATTCATCAATTGGAAGTTTATGTACATGACACATATGTGGCAATTTAAAAATATGTCTAACAGATTTTGATACTCTTCCTTTCAATAGGTGTGGCCTAATTTCCTTCTTGAGTAGATTAGACTTGAGATTCACTCCTAAAAGGACAGAATAAAGTAAAAATGTTGGTATGTAACTTCTGACACCAGGTCATAAAGGGCACCGGATTTTTCTTCCTGACTGAGGGAAGCCAGCTGCCGTACTGTTACAACACTTAAGCAGCCTATGGAGAAGCCCACATGGTGAGGACTTGAAACTTCCGACCATACCATGTGGGTGAACCATCTTGGAGTAGGCCTCTCAGTCTCAGTTAAGCCTTAGAGAACTGTAACTTCACAGACACCCTGAGCTAAACACCCAGCTAAGCTGCTCCTGGATTCCTGGCTCACAGAAACTGTGTGAGAAAACAAGTGTTCGTTGTTTTAAGCTGCTAAATTCTGAGGTAGCATATTTCATAGGAATAGATAACTAATAATGGATAGGCAATGTGTGTGTTTATCCAATTCCTGGCTCCCAAAATGTGGCAAAAAGAAGCTACATTTGGAATAAATCCACTAGGTATTCTGTGCCAGGCCTTATGGGGACCGAAATTTACATAATCGTACCCTTATCTATGAGAATTTCTCATCCCACAGAGATAAGAAGAATAAAATCATGTTATCAGAATCGGGACTTGAGGGCAATCCTCCATGCAACACACAGAAGACTCCAACTTCTAAAAGTCTCAAGTCTAAAATTTTAAAATGCTGAGTCAATCCAATGTACTAGTTTGGTGGCCCCCAATACCTCACAGTAATAAACGCCAATTATTTCTGCTCTAAACTAAGTACTTATGGTTAAAATCATAATAATGACAAAACATGCCACAAGCAGCACAACCTGGAATGATGTCTGTATTGTTTGATTTTGTTTATGGGCCAGATTTAGCAAATAGGAAACAGAATATTATTACCTGCTATTATGGCCCAAGAGTATGGCAGAGGGATTGGGGGTTTAAAAAGGGGAGAAGGACACATGAAATACCTTAATCAACAAAGAAATTAAAAAAAAAAAAAAAAAAGACATGCCAAAATGCTAAAAGTAGTTATCTTTGGGTAGTGAATATCTGAGCAAATTGATTTTTGGTATAGACTTTGTCTTGTTTTCCAATCTTTTCCCCATATGAATCACTTTTACTTATTTATTTATTTAAATATATATTTTACTGATTTTTTACAGAGAGGAAAAAAGTAGAGGGATAGAAAGCTAGAAACATCAATGAAAGAGAAACATTGACCAGCTACCTCCTGCACACCCCCCACTGGGGATGTGCCTGCAACCAAGGTACATGCCCTTGACCGGAATCGAACCTGGGACCTTTCAGTCCACAGGCCGACACTCTATCCACTGAGCCAAATGGTTTTGGCTGAATCATTTTTATAATAAAATTATTTTTTAAATTACCAAAATTACTGTAATTTTTTACTTTGTCAAGTACTAGTATAGTTTAATTCACTAAAAAGCACTAAGTTTAAAGAATAAGGAAATTAAATAAAAAATAAATTGAAGTCTAATTCTAGGTAGATTTCAAATACCTGCAAGTTAAAAAACAGGAGTGGGGAAGAGACACTGAGATTGATAATACAAGATTGGCAAAAGGTTGAGTTACTGAAGTGGGCATGTATGATACACAGGAGTTATTTACTCTCTCTACTGCCATATATGCTAGAAACTTCCCTTCTAATCTGGTTTTTTTTTCCCCCTCATTATATAAGAGGACATCAAAAAGACTAGCCAAGAGCCGATTTGTGTTAAGGAGTAGAAAGAGATACAATTTGATAGATAAAATTAACCCAAGAGTCAGGGTGTCCTACTCTAAGGATAACAAGGAGCCACTTCAAGCAGAAAAAGAAAACAAAAACAACAACACACAAAATGAAAGCCATACTTAAGAAAGACTAATTGGAGGAGAGTGTGGGTAGAAAGGTAAAAGCAGAGTAACTAACTAATTATTTTTGAAGTCTAGAAAAAAGTGAGAGCAGTAGAGTTGCGAAGGAAGGAAGAAATGTAAAAAAGCATGTTAAGAAAACTGGTATTAGAACCCAGTTTCAGGACCTCATTGGCTATGTGTAATAAATAAATCCAGAAGAGTCAAAGGCTAAAAGACTTTGGGTCCCTGTAAAAAGAACAAAGTGGCTCTGAAGACACAGAAAAGCCATGCAAACAAAAGGTGGGGAGAAAGAAAAAGACTGGAGAAATAATCCAACTAACTGAAGTCATATTGTATTTAGGGGAACAGTGGGACATCTAACTAATGATATTGGTTAGAAGAGAAACCAGCAAGTGAACAAGTGAAAAAGTGAAGCCAATAGGGCATATGGGTCTATATCCCTCATGGTGAAAATATTTGTAGACAGCTTACTAATGGCCTTGAAGATTACTTTTAGTACATACCCTTTCCCCTTAACTGGAATTCATCTAAGAATACATACTGTTAAAATGTTTTAGAGGAAAGGACCTTGCCACTTCAAGTATCAGTTAAATGCTAAAGAACTATATGGAACTTGACTAACAGATTTAGAAATGAAAGATGAAAAGCACTGCATATTAAAGTCACCAGGAAACCTCATTCATTTGAATTCAGGTCATCTAATAACAACTGTTTCAAATCCTAGCATTCAAAAATTTGAGATGAAGTAATGGGAGGAAGACCCCCTGAGATAAGGCAGCCTTGAGAAGACAGCACACATGTAACAACTATAATTCCTTTCATTCTAATTTAACTGGATAAGAGAGTTACTCCATAATGAAAAGAGTATAGGAATCAACATCTTTTGTTGTTGTTACTAAAGTGCTCTTCAGACTAACAAAGATTTTA